TATTCAGGACTGGGAAGGGTTTAGGGTTTAGGGTTTAGGGTTTAGGGTTTAGATGAAGTTTGAGGACACAGCTGCCCCTGTGCACAGAAACTCTGGACGAAATTCCGGCGCCATCACAAACCTCAAATAACTGCATCTGCGAAGCCTGCAGCACACGCTCTGCTCCCTTGGCCACGAATCCTAACATCGAGGTAGCAATACCTTAATCTAAATCCAGATAAGGAAACCTATGAAGCCTTTGTGAATTCTACAACACCTTCGCAAGCGCCACGAAGTCGTTATCTATCTCCAAGCTTTCTTAATGAGTCATCATATAATTAAAAAACAGCCTAAACCCTAAACTCCAAACACCAAAACCTTAAACCTTAAAACCTCAAACCCCTAAAACCCTGAACCCTAAGACCCCTAAAGACCCAATGAGGAAACTGCAGGCTCCTCGCCGACGGAGTGGATCTCCGCGTCGCTGTCCACATCCGCTTCGTCGGCAAGGCCCTGTTGGGAGCAACAAAAATGCCTACTTGTCGGGTATCATGGGGAACTAAAGGTTAACTAACCTTTTTGGTTATATGGGGTTATTTAGGGACTATACTACCCAAAAAAGTTAAAGGTTATCTACTCTACCACTGCGAATGTCGACTCATGATGGGGTTTAGGGTTTCGGGTTGAGTGTTCAGAGCAACAAAAATGTCGACTCATCGGGTGATAGGGTATTTTAAGGGGGTACTATGAGGGTTATTTTCAGGGTACTGTAGGGTTTTAGGAAGTTGGGGTTTAAGCTTTAGGGTTTGGGTTTTTGGTTTCGGGACTAAGGTTTTTAGGTTTGGAGTTTCAGGGCTTTGGTCAAGGATTTCGGAAGTAGGCTTGAAACAAAAGCTGCAGTGGATTTCAAGAGTCTTACCGTGTCGAAGAGGGGTGTTGCCGATTATTACACAACAAACCGAACCCGTAAATCCCGCGGCGGGGTCATGGCGAAACACAGTTGATCGTTGTGGGTACGAGGTTCAAGGAATGAGCGCAGGATTGTCCTCATTGGTTCCGTAGTGTTGGAAATGGAGAACACCTTTGTGGGTTCAGGGCTTGCAAGAGATTTGCAATGAAAGGCCCTAGGGCACTTCCTGCAGACCGACAAAGCCATGCGAAGAGTCGAGTAACACTCCATACAAGCCGTCAGAGTCCAAGCCCTGGAGCCAAACTCCTATGCCCCAAACCCTGGAGCCTCAACTCTAAACCCTAAACCTTAAACCCTAAACCCTAAACCCTAAACCTTCAACCCTAAACCCCTAAACCCTAAGCCCTGGGGCCTCAACAGTAGGGCCTAAGCTCGAGGCTGGAGCCGGCTCCGCACCGCAAGCGCCGAACCAAAACCCTAAACCCTAAACCCTAAAACCCTTAAACCCTTAACCCCTAAAACCCCCAAACCACGGTTGATGATATAGATCCTGCGTTATTTTAAGGACCCTAAACTATGGGAATAGCGGTATATTCCTTATTATGGGTAATGCAGGATTTATACCATCAACAGAAGAACAGAGCGAAACAATCCCCGCAAGGAACCCCTTAAGGAAAGGAACTCCAGCTACAACCCTCTAAACGCCTTCGTAAAGAACCCTACAGAAACCCTAAACAACCATTGCGGAGCGCTTACCACTCCCCAAAATCCCTACACAAAAATATAAAAAAACCTGTGGAAAAGCAATTATCAATCGAATGTGAATCCGTCTCCCCTACACCCAAATCCCTAAATCCCTTAATCACTAAACCCTATCCCCTAAACACTAAACCTCTCGGTAGAGGGAAAGCCCCTAAATCCCTAAATCCCTGAACCCCCAAATCCCTCAAGCCTCAATCGTGAAATCCCTAAAACCTAATCATCTAATCCCCAAACTCTGAACCCTCATCCCTAAACCCTGAACCCTCATCCCTAAACTCTGAACCCTAAACTCTCAGCCCTAAACACGAAACCTCTCCCTACAGGGAGAGCCTCATGGGACTTAGTAAGTAAGGTTATGAGTAGGTTATAATTAGGATAACCCCACTTAGGGGACTTATAACCCCAAGTATAACCTACTTACTAAGTCCCCTGATCCTCTAAGTAAACCCTGAATCCTAAACCCCTATAGATCCCATTATAACGATCCCTATAGATCCCATTATAACCATCCGTATAGATCCCATTATAACGATCCCTATAGATCCCATTATAACGGTCCCTATAGATCCCATTATAAGGAACCCTAATAGATCCCTTTTAAGGAACCCTTGATTCCCGACCCTCCCAGTCGGTACAGGGAGAGCCTCATCGGGATAGCTTGGGGCTAGGAACTCGAAGTTCAGCCGCCGGAGCACCTCTCGAAGAGGGTCTTAGGATTTAGGGTTTAAGGGTTTAGGGTTTGAGGGTTTAGGATTTAGGGGTTCTAGGGTCTTAAGTTTTAGGCTTTGGGGTTTAGGATTTAGGGGTTTTAGGGTTTCGGGTCTTAGGTTTTAGGGTTTGGGGTTTAGGATTTAGGGGGCTAGGGATTTAGGTTTTAGGGCTCTGGTGTTAGGATTCAGGGGGCTTTCGGGTTTAGGGTTCTAGGTTTTCTGGTTTTGACTTTAGGATTTAGGGGGCTTTAGGGTTTAGGGTTTTAGGGCTTAGGGTTTTGGGTTTGGGATTTAGGGGGCTTTGGGGTTTAGGGTTTTAGGGCGTAGGGCTGTAGGGCATGGGGTTTTGATTTTAAGACTTTGAGGGTTCAAGGTCTTGGGGGTTATGGGACTTATGTAAGGAAACCGCTACCCACTGCAAGCCAGACCCGTAATCCCAGTACAACCCACACAAAGAAAACCCCCAAGAAGGCCTCCTTGAACAAGGTGTGCAGGACTTGGCAGACCGCGTCTCCGTAGCCCTGCTTCAGCTTCCCAGGAACTGCTTGCACCTCGGTTTGGGCTTCAGGGTTTAGGGCTTAGGGTATAGGCAAGGTTCGGGTCCAGGGCTCAGGCTGCAGAGTTCGGGCATTGGGCCGGAAGTCTAAGGCCAACTAATGTAGGAACCTGAAATGAAGAAACCCTGGGCCTAGAACCCCAAAATAGTAGGACCTTATATAAGGAACCCTCATAAAGGCCCAAGGCTTCTTAATCAGGTTCCTACAGCTTTGGGGGCTTTAAAAGGCTTCAGACTTCAGAGATGGAGTGCTCAGCGATCTCGGATCCGGGCTTTCGGACTTCGAGTTTATGCGTTAAAGGGTGCGAATCGTGTCGTTTGGTGATCGGCAAAAAGGCAAAAGCCATAAAGCCCAGACCTCGAGATCATAGCAACGATGACAGTAGCAACACTTAAGCCCTACCCTAAACCCTAAACCCCAATGCATCAAAAAGAACCCCAAACCCCATACCCAACCGCAAGCCCTAAACCCCCAAGCAGAAATGAAATAGAAGTTGTTTCGTGCAAACAGGGCTTGTTTGGCAGAGTATGGCGGGGAGGGTTTAGGGACTTTGGGTGTTCAACTCGCCTTAGGGTTCAGGGTTTAGGGCTTTAGGGTTTTAGGGTTTAGGGTTTAGGGATTAGGACTTAGGGTTTAGGGTTTAGGGATTAGGGTTTTTTTTTAGGGTTTAAGGACTTTTCTTTCAACCTTGACCCCAGAGCCTAAACCGTGCACCCTCAATGGCATCAGGCTCGCTCAGCTTCGGCGTCTAGGACCCCAAGGGTCCAAAGGACCCAATAATTAGGTACCTGGTGCCAGGATGGTAGTTATGTAGGTTAGGATTTTGGAGAGCATATGATTATTAGGTATTTGGACCCTTGGGGGGATGCAGTGGTCTTGGTCCAAAGGGCCTCATCGGTTTAGGCTTTAGATTTCACCTGTAATCCTGTAATCCAAGAAATCTCTTTCTCCAGCACATACATAGCAGAAATATCATAAGATATACCCTAAAAGTGTAAGATAGGGGCTTTAATAATTATGAATAGGGCTTTGGGTGCACTGTACTATAATCATAATAAGGAACCCCACAGTACTATAGGCAATTATTACGACCCCTAAAAGTGTAGTCTTTTCCATGTATTAGGTGACACCCAGGACTTCGAGGTCTCTAGGGCTACGGGATCCCTGAAAGGGGCTTTTGTGGATCATGGGGCTAAGTAAGTATGGTTCCTTAAAGCCGTCCTCGCAGAGCTCCTTAAAGGGATCCTTAACGGGATCTATAAGAGTTCCATAAAGGAGGATCATGGGACTTAGCAAGTATGGTCATAAGTACCCTGAGTGGGGTTATAACTAATTATTGGTACAGATACCTCAAAGATAACCCTATTTACTAAGTCCCATGATCCTCCAACCCCGGCCCACCAAGTCAAAATCCCCGAAAGATTGAACTTTAAACCTTAAACCTTAAACCCCAAAACCCTTAAACCCAGAAGTCTTTTGCCTCTCCGCTCAGGACTGTACAGCTTCGGCAGAGACGCGGCTGGCGGCAAGAGCTACTGCACACTGGGCTCCGACCATGCTACTGGACAGTTTAGGGTTTAGGGTTTAGGGCTTAGGGCTTAGGGTTTAGGGTTTAGGGCTACCGGACAGTTTTTGTCTGCAAGGATTCTATACGGGATATTATGAGGATTTCATGCTGCGGCTTGGGGTTACGCTCTAGGGTCCCGGTGTAAGGCTTATTGCGATTATGAACCACCGACAAAGCCCCCATGAAACCTTGCAAAACCGTTTGAAGCCCCATGACACAATTCTAGAACACATACAGAACCCCCGGAAAAAAATCTTTGACCCCATAACTTGTACAATCCTTAACCCGATGAAAGCTATACAGAGCCATTGAACCCCGCAAATCCTTGGACAACCCAAGACTTATAGAAACTCATGAAAACCTATTAAAAAAAACTCGACAAGACCCCAGCATGGGCGTTGGAATGGGGTTTGCGGGGCTAGTATAGTAGAACTCCAACTATCAAGTATAGTAGAGTTCATATTAAGGAGCCCTCAGGAATATTAGTTATTATGCAGGCTTCTATAGTAGGACCCTCAATCGCTCACAAGAGCAGTCTCGGTGTGCTTGTCGGATCGCAGCATGCCTGGAGCAACTTTGGGTTTCTTCGGAGTTTGGGCTTTGGGTTGGGTGGGGTTTAGGGTTTAGGGTTTGCAAGTTAAACTTGTGTCCCTCCTTCGCTGTCAGGAAGTCGCGACTATCGCAGCTTGTGGAAGCATCAAAAAGGCCCACCAGGTGGGCTCCGGGGTCTTTAGTGCTCTGCCTTAGTTCCGAGCCATCTCGACCCTCGCGAGCTCTACTACACCTTGTTTCCTCAGCTCGACCACCAGTGCTACTGCAACCGTTACCACTTTCATGGTAGCGGAGCCGGCCTAACAGGAGGCCGGTGTCCCGAACGATCCAGGTCAAGTGGCTTCTGGCGGACAACCAGAAGAGAAATGAGTGGAGTTACGGAGCAGACGCCCGCTGCAGTGGGAAGGACAAAAGACGGCATCCCTACATGGGGCGGTGATGCCACGACCTTTGTCCACTACCAGGAGGCCGCTCTTCTATGGGAGCAGTCGCTTACATGGGAGAAGCGGTACACAGCGGGCCCCAAGCTGGTGCAAGAGTTGAGCGGAGCGGCCAAACGCCTGGTGGCCGGACAGCCACCGGGATGGGTGGCCTACCGCGGCGGTGTAACAGTGCTGATGGACCACCTTCGGCGAGCTCTTGGGAAACCAAGAGTCACAGAAGTCACCGACTTGTTGGCCGCCTACTTCAAAGGCACAAGACGCAAACCTCAGGAGAACATGAACGATTACATCACCAGAAAGACTGAGGCGTACATGAGGGCGAGCCAAGCACTGAAGCGAGTCCAGCCGCACTACGAGCGCGAGACAACCCATGCTACCCTCTATGAGCCGGAAGCCCGGCGAGCAAGCATGGAGAGCTCACACCGACCGTGGTCCCGTCAGTGGACCCCAGCGATTGAGGAGACCACTGCAGGGGGAGCTGAAGCTCCCACAGAGGCTACCGGAGATGGAGATGCAGAGACGGCCACCCGGGCATCAACGCAGGCAGAAGAGGACCCCTGGCGTGGATGGTACAGCCGGCAAGAACCTACAGGATGGAACACGTGGAGTGGATGGTCGTGGAACTACCAGTGGGGCAACTACTGGAATCGCCGTGACTGGGCCAGCGATTCTGGCTCTACAAGGACTTCGCCCCAGGAGGGGGGAACCACCATAAAACTCCTACCACAGTTCATCCAAGGATGGTACCTGTTGGCAGACGCGAACATCGACTCCAATGAGCGCAACATCGTGATGACAGCGCTGGGAGGGAACTTCGAACCCCAAAGGGTAGCTCAGGAACTTCGGAACCAGTTTTCCGAGTACGATGTGAAGAAGCGGGACTCCCAACGGAGGTACCAGAGCTACATCGGGGAGGCTATGGACGAGGACGAGGACCAGCACGAGATCTATGACGACAACCTCGACCACCTTCCCTCGGAGGGGATGTCCGAAGAAGGCCTAGCCATGGTGGTGGACGCCGAAGAAATTGCTCAGGAAGCCATGGCCACGATGTTCAACGCCAGGAGAACCTTACGAGATGCCAGACAGAAGCAACACGCTGTCAAGCAAAACCGCAAGTACTACCACGGGAACAACCGAGGCAACGGTGCAGCAACTTCCTCGTCTACTACCAAGCCACGAGACGATAGCAACATCGAGTGTCTCCGATGTGGCCAGCGTGGCCATCGAGTTGCAGCCTGTCCTCACAAGCCCCTGAGTGAGACTAAGGGCCAGGCCAATCTCGCCGAGGACAACCAGAAGGAACCACACCAGGCTCCCTTCGTGTGCTTCGCCGACGTCCCGGATGACTCCATCGCGGACCTTGACCATGCCGCCTTCCACGTTCGCGACGTCCTCAATGACGACCTCACTACAGCCGAAGCCGTCAAACGCGGCATGGCCGTGATCGACGGCGGCGCGACCCAAACCATAGGGTCGGTGGCCGCTGTGGAGGCCGTGATGAAGCAGAACCAGGCCAAGCGAGGGCACAGCGGTCTTTCGGGAGTCAATGCCGAGGATCCCCCAGTGTTTTCCTTTGGGAACTCCACGGAGAACCGCTGTCTGAGCACAGCACGCCTCCAGATCACCGCGAATGGCAAGCCTGGCGAGATGCAGATCCACACGCTGGAAGATGGCGAGAGTCCCATTTTGATGAGCATCGACACACTGAGGCGAGTAGGTGCCATCATAGATTTTGATGCTGACCTAGCAGTCTTTAGGAACTTAGACCCAGGCCGAGTCCTGAAGCTGATCCGCGGCAAGTCAGGGCACCAATTGCTGCCTTTAACAGAGGACTGGATGGAACAATCTGTGAAGGTCCCAAAGCCGGTGCCAAGCCTGGCTGCCTATCTGCCGCACTAGGGACAGCACCTTTCTGCTTTTGACCCTGACAAAAGTAGGAAGGACCGTTGTGCAGTTTCAGGGAAGAGCCAACCTAGCACTGTTTCTGCGAATCACTCTGGGGAAGATCGAGTGTACAGTAGTGATAGTGTTGAGGTTGCTAGGGGAAAGGAAACTTTGGAGGAAGCCGAGTGCATGCGCCAGCCGACAGACAGTGACAGACTACAGCGTGTACGTGAAGAACCTCCCTGTGCCCATTGCAGCAATCCCAGCTCAGACCGTAGACGAACCCGTGTGCGACTCTGTCTAGGATACCATGGACAAGATGACAACTCCCCAGATGGTCCTCTCCCTTCGCGCCTACGGAGAGGATCCTCCCAAGGGATGGTCCAAAGTGCAGCTGCTACAGAGGCTCAAGGAACTCGAGAGCGAAGGGGAGATCACAGCACCTACCACTCGATCTACCAAGACGCCCCTTCAGGAAGCGGTGCAGGCACTCAACAAGGCGGGATCCAAGAAGGCACTCCTTCAGAAGTATGTGACGGAGGAGTGCGGCATCAAGATCACGGGCAACGAGACCATGCCCATCCTCACGCAGAAAGCCATGAGCCACCTCTTGGCATCGGTGGAGCCAGTGGGGTCAGAGCCACTGGGCTTCGGGAAGTATGCGAACCAGACGTTCGAGTCCGTGGCCTCCCACGATCGCCAGTACTGCCAATGGGTAGTGACCACAGCTTCGGAAGGCCAATGCTCGGAGTATCTACGCCGGTTCGCAACGTGGCTCCAGAACACCGAGCGCAACAAGGAGGAAAAGAACCCCAAGGCGAAGGCCAAAGTGGACATTGGCCAGTTGATGACCAAGAAGAAGAGCGGCGGCTACACCACGACCGGCACGGAGGATCCCAAGACCGGCACGGTGAAGGAGGAAATCACCCCGCGCGACAGGGTGACGAAGGAGACGCCTACTCCGACGACGACGGCAGCCACCTCGAGTACGATGGACCCGGTGATCATGCAGCTGGTGTCGGCGGTTCAGACCTTGGCCCAGGAAGTCCAGCACCTCAAGGAGGAGAAGTCCGCGGCGCAACCCCGCAAGATCCAGGCCAAGGCGGACGAGTCGATGACGAGCGACGAGGACAGGAGTTAAGCATGAGTGCCAGTCGGAAGGTTGAGTACAGGGCAGAGAGGGTGATTCCGAACATGTTTGAAGAGTTGGTAGGACACACTAGACCTGAGTTGCTTGAGTTGACGTGTGATACTACAAGCCCCCTGGTCGAAGAGTTCCGCACAAGGAGCTCAAGAAGTGATGCGGCGCATTGATGTGCGTTGTTGAACGGGCATGACATTGCCCGGCCAGAAGGTCTTAGGGTAGTCCTGGAACAGATCCTCAGTTTGAAGCCCAAACATGTCTGGATTAGCCTCCCTGGTAAAGCGTTTAGCTCCTTGCAAAACATTAACCAAAGGTCCCCGACCCAAATCCAAGACCTGAAGGCCAAACGTAACCTTGCCATGCGAACCTACGAGAGCACTGTGGAGATCACAAAAGTGTGTCGTCAAGCAGGCATACATGTGACAGTCGAACTTAGCGAAAGAAGTGAGGCTTGGAGGTTACCGGTCCTTCAGAAGTTGCGCTTTGAGTCGGGTCTGTTGAGCTGCGTCGCCAAAGGGTGTTCAGTTGGGTTGAGGGGGTCAAATGGGCAGTTGATGTTGAAAGGGTGGAGAATCCTCACGACTCATCCTCGACTGGCCCAGAAGCTCCACAAACCATGTTTGTGTTCTACGAAGTATGAACATGCCAAGTGTGAGGGCCCCAATGCTAAAGCCTCAAGCCAATATCCTCCCGAACTTACCAGGCTGATCCATGAAGCCTTGACAAGGGAAGGGAATTTTGATGAGGTGATTCAGGAGTGTCAGGGAAAGACGAGGTTGCCAGAGGGTTTTGGAGAGGGTTTCGGATGTGCGTGTGAGTCCATTTCAGAGGGTTGTGGAGTGTGTCAGGCGAAAGAGGTTGAAGTAGAAAGATCTCAACACCCTGGAGGCCTCGAGGCCCTCATGAGCCAAAGCCAGGTCCAAGAACTCGAAGCCGCAGCTAAGGACCTTGGTAAAACCCGAGAAGCCTCCCTCAAGCATCTCCAAAACCTCCTGCAGCAGTTTCCCCTGAAGAACGTAGGTCAATCCCGTCGAAACCATGGAAAACCGAACGACTACCACGTGTTCGGAACCTATGCGTACGGTAATCACTACGGAAACACCCTGAGGACCCAAAGAACTCCCGAACTCTGTAGGCTCATCAACAAAATCCTCAAAGCTCACCTCCCCAAGCAATTCCGATGGACGTCTTTCGCCCTCAACCATGGATCGATGATGCCTATCCATCGAGATTCTCACAACGACCCGCGGTATCCTAACGGCAGCATAGGGTTTGGGAATTTCAAAGGGGGATCATTATGGATTGAGGAAGGAGGGGTGCTTAACGAGAGAAAAGGGATTGTGTCGGAGAGAGAGGGTTTTCAAGGGAAGATGTTGAACGGTGTTGAAGTTGACATTCAGAATCAGGTTGTGATTTTCTCGCCCCAGTCTTGGCACGGAACCTGCCCTTGGGAAGGAGATAGATGGGTGATCACGGCCTTTGTGAGTCGGGGTTGGAAGCACTTAACTAGAGAACAATTTCAAGAGCTCCAAAACCTCGGGTTCCAGGTCCCCGACAGCAAACAAGCCGAAGCTTACGCCCTGGACGAATCTCAACCTGCCCTCAGGGATCGTAGGAAGGAGGACGAACGAATCCGCAAACAACTGTACTTACTGCATTGCGCCACTGGACACAGCCACCCCAGGCACATGATTCAGGCTCTGAAACAAAGGGGTGCTGATGCTCGAACCCTGGAATTGGCCGAAGGTTTCACGTGTCCCGTGTGTAGCGAGAAGAAGAGGCCCCCTCCGCGGAGTCTTGCCTCTTTGGAACCTCTTCCTCCCAAGCTTTATACCATTGAAGCTGACATAGGGAACTGGGTCCACCCTCAAACCGAGGAAAGTGTGAACTTTATGCTTGTCATAGATGAAGGGTCGCGCTTCCGCACGGCTCGAATCCTCAGCCTAGGTAGTAAGCGCACGCCATGTGCACAAGACTGCCTGCAGTACTTGCAGGAAGGATGGGTTCAGTACTTCGGGCACCCGAGGTGCCTTCGCTTGGACCCAGCCGGAGCCTTCCGGAGTGCAGCTGTAGAAGAATGGTGTGACAAGCACAACATCTTTCTGGACATAGTCCCAGGCGAGGCCCATTGGAAGATAGGAACAGTTGAGAATGCGGTAAAGGGTGTGAAAGAGCTGATGACAAAACTCTCCCTGTACGACAATGAGCTGAGTCCTCAACAAGCGCTAGCTGAAGCTATCACCACCTTCAATCACAAGGAGATCATCCGCGGGTATTCGCCCGCCCAGCATGTGTTGGGTCAGGCTCCAGACGAGACAGGTCGTTTCATACCTCATCTTTCACAACCACATCCCGATCTTCTGGTCGAGAACCCTTCCGGAGAATTTGAGCGAAGTGTCCAACTCCGAGCTACGGCCGAAAAGGCCTTGTGTGACTGGAGTGCACATCAGAGACTGATGAGGGCCAAACACTCCCGCCACCGGCCTTGTTACGACTACGTGCCGGGCGAGCTGGTCTACTATTGGAGGACCCAGGACTCCAATAAAGGACGACGACAACCGGGAGGTAAACATGGCAGGTTCTTAGGACCTGCCCGGATCCTGGCTACCGAGACCCGACGAGCTGAAGATGGGAGCGCAAAACCAGGCGGGGCAGTATGGCTTGTCAAAGGTCGCAGTTTACTTAAGTGTGCACCAGAGCAACTACGCAGGGCGACCGAACGTGAAGAGCTGGTCGAAGGATTGAGTGATCCCTCTCAACAGCGGCTCTCCTGGACTTACCACACTGTGGCCAAGGAGATCGGGGGCAACCGTTTCGAAGACATCAGTGCTGAGACACCCAGCCAGGAGGAGTGGTCCCGCGCCCAAGATCCAGTTGAGGAGACTCAACCCGTGCGATTTCGACTGCGCTCTAAGCGCGGGGCCACTGCGGAACCAGTCTCCACGGCCATGGAAGAGGACCAAGACGAGGCCGCGCCAACGTCAGCGACCCGAGAGCGTTCACGCTCACGGGGCCGTGCCGGAGCCAGTGGCTCACAGCCTGAAGAACATCCCACAGCATGGTGGAACACGGTGCGAGAGGAGAAGTGGCCTGAACAGGAGGCCAGCTACTGGTCAGACAAAGCGGCGGCGGTGGAACTGGAGTTCACCCTACCTACGACCCACCGGGGACAAGAAAAAGCGTGGAGAGACCTCAGTGGCTACTTCATCGGTAGCATGAAGCGCCGGGCAGTGGAACTCTCTGAACGTCGCATGACACCAGAAGAACTACGTGAGTTCCAAGGGGCCAAGGCTATTGAAGTCAAGAATTTCGTGGCTTCCAAGGCCTTCGAGATCCTCCCGGACCACTTGAAGCCGGACAAAAGCCAGGCGATTGGAATGCGATGGATTCTAACCTGGAAGTTGCGAGAAGACGGCACCCGAAAGCCCAAAGCTCGTGCAGTACTTCTCGGCTACCAAGACGAGGCCTACGAACATAGAGCCACGACCTCACCGGTCATGACGAGGCAGACTCGTCAACTCCTCTTACAGGTTTCAGCGTGGAAGCGCTGGAAAGTGCAAAAAGGAGACGTCACCGGAGCTTTCTTGCAGAGTAGGCAGTACCCTGACAAGCTGTATTGCATTCCTTGTCCTGAGATCTGCGAAGCCCTTCACATCCCAGCCGGAAGCGTGACCAAGGTCCAGAAAGCTTGTTATGGATTAGTTGATGCACCTCTGGAATGGTACCGCTCAGTGGATCAGTTTCTCCGGGAACAGGGGTTTACCAGGTTGTGGTCGGATTCCTGCTGTTGGGTTCTCCGGGTCGATGGTTGTCTCCGGGGAATCGTCAGTGGTCATGTCGATGATTTCCTTTTTGGGGGAAAAGAGGGTGACGAACTGTGGGAAAGCAAGCTGGCGGCCATCAAAGCCAAATTTAAGTGGGGAGATTGGGAATCAGGGAAGTTCACGCAATGTGGGGTGATCATAGAACAAAAGCCCGATGGGTTTGAGCTTTCCCAACCACACTACCTCGACAACCTCCAAGAGATCAACGTGTGTGCTAGCCGTAAAAAGAACAGGAGCCTCCCCACTACCGACATGGAGAAATCCCAATTACGCGCTCTGCTAGGAGGAGTCAGTTGGCACGCTCAACAGGTGGCACCATACCTGGCTGCCGAAGTAAGCCTTCTCCTAACCGAGGTATCCCGCAGCACTGTGGAGACGATCGTGAAGGCCAACATGCTACTCAACACCGCCAAGTCCAAGCGATCCTACAAGATGAAGATCCACTCCTTCGATGAGTCCGATGAGGGCTTGTTCCTCGGCGTCACGACCAAGCAGATGCTCCAAGGGCAAGTCTCCGCTGTCTCCCCTGTGGCATGGCACTCTCAGAAGATAGAGAGAACGTGTCGCTCGCCTGGAGCGGCAGAGGCGCAAGCAGCCGTCAACGGCGAGGACGGACTCTACTGCGGAAGGCACCAGTGGAGTGAAATTCTCCATGGAACCGGAGACCTACACGATCCAGATGGCCTGGTGCGACTTACAGGTGGCTGCGTGGTCACCGACAGCCGCAACGTCTACGACCGACTCAACACCGAAGTGCTGGCGTCTCGTGGAGGACCCCAGCATGATGTCCGCAAAACGCCGAAAGGATCTCGGCCTACTACCTTTGGAGCAGCCCAAGGCCGAACCCAAAGTTTCCGAGGGGTTAGATGGTTTTCATAATCAAGAGTGATTCTCAGAAACTGCTCCACAGAGCCAGAAGTGCTCACATACTCCACTGGGGTGGAGTCCCTTTAATGTCTGCCGGGGGAGGGGGGCATGCAAGTTAAACTTGTGTCCCTCCTTCGCTGTCAGGAAGTCGCGACTATCGCAGCTTGTGGAAGCATCAAAAAGGCCCACCAGGTGGGCTCCGGGGTCTTTAGTGCTCTGCCTTAGTTCCGAGCCATCTCGACCCTCGCGAGCTCTACTACACCTTGTTTCCTCAGCTCGACCACCAGTGCTACTGCAACCGTTACCACTTTCAGGGTTTAGGGTTTAGGGTTTAGGGTTTAGGGTTGCGCAAGAGGTTGCAGTCAGTGCGAGTTGACAGGGCTTTTAAGAGGTTCCTGCCGTCTGGCTTTAGGTTAGAATGATGGACTTATGATGGGGCCTTATATGTGTTGTACGAATAGTATGCAGTGAAGGTTCCTTCAGGTTTTGCATTCGCTCTATAAAGGTTGCATGGAACCTTGTGCCACTTGAGAAATCTTGCGAGGTGTTCTACAGGGCTTCCACGACGGTTTACGACGGGAATTTAGGGAAAACTCGCAGGATGCGTGGGTTGAGTACTTAGGGATAAGTAAGGCAGGTATAGCTATATCTAATTCTTACTTCTGACTCCAATTGGCACAAGCTTATCCCCCGTCGTAAAACTAACTAGCCATGACTCCTAAACCCAAAACCCCTGAACCCTAAACCTAAACCCTAAAACCCTGAAACATTAAACCCTCAAACCCGAAAACCCCTAAAACCCTAACCCAAAACCGTAAAACCCAAAACCGGCCTGCCAGCACAGAGTCGGCATCAAACTCCTTGTGGTTCGACGAGTTGCGTCGAGGGTTCAAGCCGGTTCAGGTACTCAAGGGGCCTTAATAGTTAGAATAGGGCTCCTTTAAAGGGGTCGATAAGGGATCTAAACGGGCACTTTAATCTTTGATCAGAGGCCTTAACAGCTAAAATAAGGTTGTGGGGTCTGTTATACTATACTTGCAATAGATAACCCCCGAACCCCTATTCTAGTTATGAAGGCCCCTACATGTTTCATGAAAAGTCGCATTCCAGTTCAGACGCTGTGTAAAAGCAAGGAGATACGTCTGTTCGGGAGTATTGCAACGGATTCTTTAATGGACAGTCTACACGAGCATCCCTTATTTTCTGAATCTTCGCTGTCACATGAACACTTGTGCAACTCTTCTCTAGCCTGCAGTTGGGCAGAATTGGCCTTCCCGTCCATTCTCTGCACTCTGTCTGCACTGGGGCAGGTTAGACAAACTCCAGAGCATGAACGTCAGAATCTCAACGTTTCAATACCCCTAAACCCTTAATCTCAAACCCCAAATCCTAAACCCGCACACATCTCAACCCTAAAACCCAACCAAGTCCTAAGCCCTAATCCCTAAATCCTAAACAAACCTTAGCCCTTGAATGTAGAGGCCCAATCCGATCCTCTTTCGGGTTCCGGGTTGAGGGTTTAGGGTTCAGGGTTCCTTTCCTAAAATGAGGGATCTCTAAGGGTATTGCAGGGTCTGAGGTTTAGGGGTGCAGAGCAAGGGGTTTAGGGAGAATGGTGTAGGGTTTTGTCACCATCACCATTCTTGTGTATTTGGCTTTCTGATCACCACTGTTCCGAAAATCAGTATCTGTGTCCGTTCGAAATTCGTCATGGCAATAGACCACTAGCTACAAACTGTCTTCAACAACACTACCAGCTAGTTGTAGGGATATGCAACCTTATCAGACTTGCACCAGTACTGCTGCAAGCAGCACTAGTCTTGGTACGGTTACAATTTTTGTCATTCATATGTTCTGATGCTCTTTCGATGCTGGTGATATCGATATTGCACCAGTTGGTGTTACACCACGTTCTCGCTCTGTAGTGTGCGTACCTCGCCAACGGAAGTCGCAGCTATCAAAAGTCCGACCCCAGCCAAACTCTCGAACCTAGACTGCCCCTAAACCCTAAACCCTAAACCCTCACCTCCATGTTGTTTTACAGCTCCGGTCCTCGCCCTTGCCCAGCTGATGTGAAAGCTGATCAGGTGAGCACCGGAACGGTCCTCGGAACTTATATGGGTGGTTGTCAAAATTAGGGTTTGGGTCCTGAATATTTAAAGGGTTACTGTAAGGGTACTATAAGGGTTCTATAAAGGGTTTAGGGTTTAGAGGTTTGGGAGTTTCCGAAAATTCGGGTCCCTTTTTGGGTCCTTAATCTAATACGGCATCTAATATTTAGGGTACCCTAAAAGGGATCTTAATTTTGACAACTACCCATACTCAGAGGCTGGAGATTGTCATTGTGGTCAGGGTCATCGTGGTCAGGAATGCCCTCTTTCGGGTCACAACGCCCTACGTAACTATAACAACCTTTCTAACCTATGTGTCAGCCGCAGCATGCTGCAAACCTTATGACGCACCAAAACGCACCCCAAAAAATTCCAGAACTGCCCGGACCTTTTCGTTGTCTTTGCCGGAAACCAGGCACCCAAGGCCTAAATCCTGAACCCCAAACCGGAGACAGTTCAAAGTGCCCTTCTAGATCCCTTATAGACTGATAGGAAGCCCTAAACACCAAATCAACCCTAAACCCTGAACCCCAGGCCCTACACCCCTATAGTCCCTTTAACGGAGCCGCTGTAGTCCCTTGAAAAGGACCCCCTCCCAGAGACTCCAATACCCCATAATTACGGAATATACCTTAAATCATAGGGACCCTTTTTATAATTTATAAGGTATATTCCCTAATTAAGGGGTATTGGAGTCTCTGGGCTACACCCGACAATCCTTTAAAAACCTGAGCCTCAGGCCTCGCTCGTGCTTGAGCCGTTCCAGGAACTCTGCGCGTGTGTAGATCCGATGCCCCAGCTGCCGCTTGTACTCCTTTAAAGGGACTCAGGGTGTAGGGGTTTAGGGGTTAGGGGTTTAGGGGTTTAGGGGTTTAGGGGTTTAGGGGTTTAGGGGTTTAGGGGTTTAGGGGTTTAGGGGTTTAAGGGTTTAGGGCTTTACTCCTTTAAAGGGACTCGTAAACTTCAAGGGGCTTAGGTATGCCTTTGAGGGTTTGGGGTTTCTACTCCGGGACTCACGGTGTAGGGCTCCCCTGAACCGGGTTGGGGGCTTGGAGTTCCTTGGGGCTTGAGGCTTAAACTTCAAGGGGCTTAAGTATGCCTTTGAGGGTGTAGGTTCAAGGCTCCTGAAGGGATCTTTGAGGTTGAGGATTGGGGTTGAAGTTTGGGGTTTGGGTTCTTTAAAGGAACTATAAGGGCTCCTATAAGGGATCTAGTTGAGGGTTGAGGGTTTAGGACGTAGGGTGTAGGGTTTGCTCGTACTCCTTTGAGGGTTTAGGCTTGAGGGTTTGGGGTTGAGGGCTTGGGGTTGAGAGTGTAAGGTTTAGGGTTGGGAGTTTTGGGTTGTGGTTTAAGGTTTAGGTTTTAGGGTTGAGGTTTGAAGGTTTGGGATTTGGGGTGTAGGTTTAGAGCTTAAGGTTTCAGGCTGAGGAGGTAGGGTGTAGGGTTTTAAGTAGAAAGAATCACGAGGACCTGCAAACATCGGAGGAGTTGCGCGTCCACGGCATTGTCCTAAACCCTAAACCCTAACTCTAAACCCTAACCCCTAAACCCTAAACCCGTAAACTCTAAACCTCTGAACCCTAAACCCTAAAGTCCTAAACCCCAAACCCTAAACCTTAAACCCCTAAACTCGGAACCCTAAACCCTAAGCCCTAAACCCTAAACCCTACTGAAGCCTAACTCCTCGGCCCAGAACCCTAAAACCACTCCTCAAGGAAGGGTTTAGGGTTTAGGGTTTAGATTTCGGATCTTGAGGCTGACCATTGGTGATTTGGGAGTTTCAGAAAATAGGGGACCCTAACATCGTACCCTAAATAGTAGGATCCTTATTATAAGGACTGCAAAATATGGTACCCCTATTTTCGGAAACTCCCATTTAGCCCCCGGCAACCAACATCCTGAACAGCCCTTAAACCCAAACCCGTACACCCGAAGCTCGTGCAGCACAAGCCCCGAAACCTCAGTCCCTAAACCCTAAGCCCCACTCGCTAAACTTCCAGCAATCCCCATAGACTCGGAAATCGGAGTAAGGCCGAATAGTGCCGGGATTCCACAAACATTACTCTTAAGGAATGAGTCGATTGGGTTTCCAACTTTTGGGCTTCTACTGTAAACCCGTAAACCCTGAACCCTTAACCCCCAACCCCCAACCTTAAACCCTAAACCCACCATCCTAAACCCTAAACCCCAAGCCCTAAACTTAAACCCCTGCCCTGAACCCCGAATCCTCAAAGCCACACCTCACCGCTGCAAAAACCCTGACTGAACGTCCGAGCACACCTGAAGCCGAAGGCCCGATGCCCCAAAACGAAAAAGCCCACAAGCCCTTTCAGGGTTTAGGGCTTACAGTAGGGCTGAGGGGGCTTCAAAGAAGCTTCGGGTGTTAGAGGTAGTTTTTTGGGCTGTTTGCGTTTGGGATTCAGGCTGTACATCACGGGAGGGCTCGATCCTAAAACCGAACAGCAAAGGAACCTTTGAAGGAGCCCTTCAAGGAGCGATAAAGGAAGCCTGAAGGAACCCTACAGATTACCGCAGATTACTCCGAGGCTCCATGTGCGGGCTGTAGCAGTGGCCTAGGCTCCTTGGATTGGATTGAAGGGTAGTATAGGGCCCCAAACAAGGGGATCTACTTTCTGGATCCTCCCGGGGGTCTGGGTTAAAGGAACTCAGGGTTTAGGGCTTCTTTAAAGGAACTATAGGGGTTCAGGTGTGCGTCGGAAACCGATGCTTTGTCATGCGAATGCTTTCAAGGCCTATGCTTTCGGAACCACCCTGCCTTTCCGAATCCTAATCCAAAACCCTAATTAAGAAAACCGGTGGCCAATAACGCCAAAATAGTAGGATTCAAGTAGGAAACCCTAACCCTTATAGATCCCTTATAGTAACCCGTATAGACCCCTTTAAAGGCACCCTATTCTACTTGTTAAGGCCCCAAGATTCGGTTTCTCAATCAGGTTCCTACCCTAAACCCTAAACCCTAAACCCCTAAACCCTAAACCCTAAACCCTAAACCCTACATTAAACTGTGCCAAAGCCGGGACCAGGTGCTGAACCTTCAACTCGAATCCGAACCCCCCGGCCGCCCCATATCTTAAACGCTAAACCCCAAATCCTAAGACCGAAGTTTAAAAGAAAAAAACTCTAAGTTCTCAACCCTCAACCCCCATGATCAAAACTCTGAATCCTGAATCGTAAGTAGGGCTGTAAATAAAGTAAAAATACTTATAACTACTTACATCCCCACTTAGGGTACTTATAACCTTACTTACTAAGTCCCATGATCCTTCTTCCTACCTTTCGAGGCCCCTGATCAACCTCCCAGAGACTCCAATACCCCTTAACTAAGGATTATACCTTAAATTATAGTAGGGCCCCTAATATGATTTAAGGTATATTCCTTAATTAAGGGGTATTGGAGTCTCTGGGCTGAGGCCGGGTCCAGAAAGCGTAGCGCTTCTCCTCCAGCCACTTGCCCAGGCAGGCGAGCTGGATCCTCACTATCGGACGGTTGATGTTCCTTTCGAGGGATCTCTAAGGGTACCTTTAAGGGGGCTCCTTTAAGAGATCTATAGGGCTTTAAGGTTTAGGGTTTAGGGTGATGATCTAATAAATCCTGCATTACCCTAAGGACCCTAAGCTGTGGGAATCATGGTATATTTCTTATGATGGATAATGCAGGATTTATATCATCAACAGTAAGCACTCACTTATAATAAGGAGTCCTTTTAGGGGTTTCGGGTTTGGGGTTAAAAATTACTTAGAATAGGAATGTTTATGGTTTAAGGGCACTCTACTTGTTGGGTCAAGCTTTTGAGGGTTTAGGGTCTAGGGGCCTTCATAATACCAATAGGGTGAGGGGTCTATATAAGGCCTACCATACGGGCTACTATGAGGGATTTGGGGATTTTCACTAAGCGGGTTTTAAGCCTGTTAGGGGCTTGGGGTTAATAAGTAATTATAATGGGGTTGTTTAAGGTTGAGGGTTTAGGGTCTAGGGGCCCTAAAAATTAGAGTTTCAAGGGGACTGTAAGGGTTACCATAAGGGCTATAAGGATTTAGTCTAGGGGCGATCCTCAATAAGCACTCTGATAGGGGCATGAATAAAGCACTGGACTCTGGGTTTTTGTTGAGGGATTTAATTTAAGGTACCATAACAAGGAAACCCCACTATTCACGAAAGATCCCCATTATGGCAACTCAAGTTAGATACTTTAACAAGAACCCAGTGCTTGGAGGGTCGGGGGGCTCAGTAAGTAGGTTATAGGCTTTGAAATACCCCAAGAAGGATCCTTGTTGGGGTTATGATACAGTAGAGGTTAAGTCTGTGAAATAACTACCTTCCAAGTCCCCCGACCCTCCAAGTAGGGTTTACGGCTTAGGGAGTTTAGGGTCTAGGGTTTAGTGACTTAGGGTTTAGGGCTTAAGGCTTTGATGGCTTTGGGTTTGGGGTTTAGGGTTTACTGGTTCTGGGTAGTCAAAGGCAATACAGGGGCCTTAATATCTGGAACAATATTGGCAAGTCTTGAGGCTTTTACAGTAAACTCCGCCCCAAGGAACCAAGAAAGTAAAGCCCGAACCGAAGCCAGGTGTCCATCCCAGGCCATCCGCACTTCGAAGACTGAATCCAGACAAGCTCGTGTAGACCTTGCCGATAGAGTACCTCGGCGGCTCAAAATGGGAGTTTCCGAAAACAGGGGACCCTAGTACCGAACCCTAAATAGTAGGATCCTTATTACAAGGACCCCCAAAAAAGGTACCCCCCTAATTTTCGGAAACTCCAAACCCTAAACCCTTTGTAGAACCCTTATAGATCCCTTTAAGGAACCCTTAAACCCTTAAAGGATCCCCAAAAAGGTGCCCCTAATTTTCGGAAACTCCCAAATAGAATGGCTGGACATCGTAAGACCGTCTTTAGGGGCCTTCATAAGTAGAATAGGGTTCCTTCAGAGGGGCCTATAAGGGTTACTGTAAGGGCTCTAAACGGGTACTTTAAGCTTTCATAATTAGGATAGGGTCTTGTGATGTATTTCAGAATGGTACTGACAAGGAACCATACAGTCAGGAGTAATGCTTGCGATTGTTCAGGCGTCTAAACTACAGCTTAGGGCTTGGGGTTTTGAAAGTCTGTACCCTCAGCCGGCACTTCTGGGGAGTGGCAGCTTAGGCAATCATGGGACGTCTAATCCTTACTGACTTTGTGGTAAATCAAGTTCAGTTCTCTTGAATCTTGAAGAGCAATTTACAAATCCCTCTAAACAACTCAAACCCTAAACCCCTAACCCTAAACCCCGCACCCCTAAACCCCTGAACCCTAAACCCCGAACCTGGAACCCCTAAACCCCTAAACCCTAAAGTTTAAACCCTAAACCCTAAACCCCAAGCCGCATCGAACCCGGGCGGCCCAATCTCACCCGCGATCAGCTTGGGCGGATCAGCTTTGGCCTGGGACTTTGGATCTAGGGTTTAGGGTTTCGGGGCTCCTTGAAAGGAGATATAAGGGTTCCCATAAGGGATCTCCAAAGGTACTATGGACTTTAGGGTGTGGGGTATAGGGTTTAGGGTTTACTTAAAGGATCATGGGACTTAGTAACTAGGGTTATAGTTCAGTTAACTGTACTTAGAACTACTTATATCCCCCTCTTGGGGTACTTATAACCTTACTTACTAAGTCCCATGATCCTCCAAGTAGGTTTAACCTATCATGACGGACTTTTCCACAGCCTGCCCTGCCAGCCCTTTGGTTCGGGCTCATAGAGTGAGACTTAGGCGAACATCCATTATCTGGTAGCCCAGGGTTTAGGGTTGGTTCCGGGTCGGGGAAGCGCCTTGTTTGTGATTTCAGGGTTTAGGTTTTCGAGGTTGGGGATTTCAGGATCGTTTTGATAAGGTAAGTTTGCAAAAGACTTGTCAGAAGGGTTTGCTAAAGGGCTAGAGGGTAGAGGGCTTGGAGGTTGAAAGGCAATTCTTGGGTTATGACAATCTTATCACTTGTCAAATTCTTCGGGATGTTACTAAGGGTTTTCAAGCTCAACCCTGCACCCTCGAACCCAAAATCAAAACCGCCAGACCCCTCTATACAGCTTAAACCCAAAAACCCTAAACTCCAAAACCGTAAACCCCAAAATCGTAAACCATTAACCGAAACCACCGTCAACCCTACACCCTATAGTACCCTTGTAGATCCCTTGTAGGAACCTTATAGTTCCATGAATGGAACCCTACACCCCCAAAAGCCAAAAAACGCCTAACGCAGCTTCGGTTCGTTGCTCCTCTGGATCCATCCCACCCGTCATTTAAAAAGCGCAATCCGGATTTTTGTTTGTTTTAAGCTCCTTTTTCCAGGGGGCGGCTCCACGCAGCATCCTAGAAGGCCGCAATTCGGATTTAGGGCTCAGGGTTTAGGGATTTCGGCACCCAGAGACTCCAATATCCCTTAATTAAGGAATCTACCTTAAATCATATAAGGGATCCTACTATAATTTAAGGTATATTCCTTAATTAAGGGATATTGGAGTCTCTGGGGGGTTTTAGGCAGCTTAGGCTTTGAGGTAACGAAAACGGCCGCAGCAGTGTATCCGAGGAGCCCTGCCGGCTCTCATTATCCCGCTGCCCTAAACCCTAAACACCAAACCCTAAACCCCAAGCCAGAAACCACAAGCCCCTAAGGTAGAAGCCAGAAAGTTGGAATATGATTATCCTAACCCTTCTATGGTAAATTATAGGGTATCCTACCCTGAAACCATATTCCAACTTTCTGGAGCCCCCCTTCAACCCCCAACCCTGAAACCCTAAACCCCGAACCCGTAAATACTTACTTAAAGGCTCATGGGACTTAGTAAGTAAGGTTATAAGTAGGTTATAATTAGGATAACCCCACTTAGGGGACTTATAACCCCAAGTATAACCTACTTACTAAGTCCCATGATCCTCCAAGTAACCCTGAAGCTGGGCTTCGCGCCGCAGGCTCTTCCGCCAACCGTGGGCCATCGTACAGCTCCTCGGTTTGGTTTACGGCTTTTGGTGCAACATCACGGTTTAGGATTTTCGGTCGAGGGTTCCTTTCTTAAGTTGGGTTGACGGCCTTCTTCGGTTTAGGGTTCGATGTTTAGGGCTTAAGTTTAGGACCCGCCAGCCCTAAACACATCAACCCTAAACCCCTAAAACCCCAATCCGCCAAACCCTGCACCCTCGCCCGGTTTCTCCAAAACGCTTAAACGAAACCTGTGGATCCCTGAAAGGATCCCGTAAAGGAAACCTATAGATCCCTAAAAGGATCCTGTAAAGGAAACCTATAGATCCCTTAAAGGAACCCTTACAGGAAACCTATAGATCCCTTAAAGGAACCCGTAAAGGAAACCTATAGATCCCTTAAAGGAACCCTTAAAGGAAACCTATAGATCCCTTAGAGGATCCCGTAAAGGAAACCTATACATCCCTTAGAGGATCCCTTAAAGCAACCCTTAAACGAAACCTATAGATCCCTTAAAGGAAGCCTTAAAGGAACCCTTAAAGGAACCCTACAGAGGATCCCTGAAAGGAACCCCTTGAGGTGATTGATTGCCGGGGCTGGCTGCAGAAAGAGCCTCGATCGAGTGCAGACGGAAGTTGATCTTCGGATCGTCACCTCTTATAGTAACTAGGGTTCCTTAAAGGGTTCCTTAAAGGGCTGCTCAATTGGGTTCCTTAAAGGGTTCCTTAAAGGAACCCTTTTGAGGGGTTCCTTTAAGGGATCTAGAGTGCCTCCTTAAAGGGATCTATAGGGTTTAGGCTTAGTAACTCGGGTTCCTTGAAGGGCTCCTTAAGAGGGATCTATACTGGATCTATAGGGTTCCTTATGATGGGATCTATAGGGGTTTAGGGGTCTGCTTCGAGGATCATGGGACTGAGTTTCTAAGGTTCCTTCAAGGGTTCCTTAAAGGGCTCCTTAAAAGGGATCTATAAGGGTTCCTCAATGGGATCTATAAGGGTTCCTTATACTGGGATCTAGAGGGGTTTAGGGTCTACTTATAGGATCATGGGACTTAGTAACTAGGGTTATAATTAAGGTAACTATACTTATTACTACTTTTAAACCCACTTAAGGTGCTTGTAAGCTGGCTGAAAAAAGTCCTGTGAACCTCCAAGCTTTTGAGGACTGCAGGACTTTTTTGTGTGTGTCTTAGGGTTCCTTTAAAGGTTCAGGGTTTAGGGTTCCGTTAAGGGCTACCAGAAGGGATGCTATAAGGGTACTCGTACGGTTTTAGGTTTACAGGCTTGCGGTTTTAGGGTTTAGGGCTTTAAGGCTTCTACCCGGTTCTCTTACGATAAGGCTTTCATCTGGTTTGGCTTGTTAACCTGGTCCAGGGCTTGGTGTTTACAGGGCTTTGGGTTAATTTAAGCTTTTTTCGAAGTGTGGAATTGAGGAAGGTGCGGAATCAGACTTTAGCAACTTCGGGTCAGGATTTGCGGCGGGACGGAGTTTGGGGACTACGCTTCCTAACCAGGACATGCTGGCGCTTTATGCGTGTCATTTTCGATTACAGGCCCTGGTAAGGTCTTGGAAGAGCTTTTGTGAGGTTTTAGAGTTCAAATCAGTTTGGAAGCAGGGTAACTATGGTTGTAACCCACCTGAAGGGACTTATTATATCCCCACTGTTAACTACCCAGAGCCTCCATAAGTCTTTAGCAGATCCTCTGAGCCTCAGTCACCACCCTGAGTTCTGGTGACGTAGTTTAGGGTTTAGGGCTCAGGGTGCTGATGGACATAATCCTGCCTTGTCCAGATGCAAGACTTTACCGTCTTTCACATAGGCGGAGGTACTTGAGTTAATGCAGGACTTTGTCCTTCATCAACCACTAGAACAAGCCCCGAGACTCAGCCTAAACCTTAAACCCTCAACCCTTTGTAAGGGGATCCTTAAAGAGATCTATAGGGGTTCGTTAAGGAATCTATAAGGGTTCTACAATGGGGCTTAGGAAGTTCCGAGGGTCCGGCTGGCGCGCCGGAAGGCCTGGATGTACTTCCAAGTCATCCAGTTCTCCCCGTGCTGCTCCTTTAAGGGTTCCCCTACTTAGAGGATCTTGGGACTTAGTAACTAGGGTTATAATTAAGGTAACTATGCTTATACCTACTTATAACCCCACTTAGGGTACTTATAGCCATACTTATTAAGTCCCATGATCCTCCAAGTAAGGGTTTAGGGTCTACAGGCTCCAGAAAGTGGGGTTTAGGGCTTAGGGGTTCCTTGGGTGGGATCCAGAGACTCCAATACCCTTCAATTAAGGAATATACCTTAAATCATATTAAGGATCCTACTATGATTTAAGGTATATTCCTTAATTGAGGGGTATTGGAGTCTTTGGGGGGCTTAAGGCCTCTGTCTCCTTCAATCTTGCTTAGGGCTTGGGGTTCTTTTCAGGGTTACGTTTAAGGGTTCCTTTAACGGCTACTCAAACGGTTCTTGTAAAGGTTCCTTCAAGGTTCCTTGCTGCGCCACTATAAGGGCTGCGAACAAGGCTACTGGAAGACAGCTCCTTCGAGGGAGAATAGGGGACCCTAATTTAGCACCCTTAATAGTTGGATCCTTATTACAAGGACCCCAAAGTAAGGTACCCCTATTTTCGGAAACTCCCATAAGGATACCAGAATAGTGTACGGGATTTAAGGTTTAGTTCTCAGGTTTTAGGGTTGGAGCAGAGCTTTGGGTTCAGGCTCTTAGGGTTCAGCGCTTAGGGCTTTGATGGACTTGGAAAGGGTTTTAGTTATATACACATATCTACGTATATACACATAGACAGATAGATAGATAGATAGACAAACAGATATACGGATAGACAGATAGATGGATAGATGGATGTATGGATAGATAGATGGACGGATCGATAGATAGATAGATAGAGGCCTATAAAAGCGCTGAAACAGGGTTGAAGTTTGCTGCGGGTTAGTGTTCGCAGTCCTGGACTTGGGATGCAAACCTTTGCGTCTAAGGCCCCCCGAAAGTTGAATTGAAGAGTTAAACCTAAACCCCAAACCCCTAACTCTGAACCCTCCTAGAACCCTGACGTTGTCCATAGTCTAGGTTGTGAGACCCTTCTACAACCGTGAAAGTTATCCGATAAAACCCTACAAAACCATTTGTAAAAGCCCTTCAGGAAGGGACGGTGTCTTGATCTCCGAGGGTTGAGGTCGTGGGTGAGCCTTCTGATAACGATCCAGCTGCTTGTAGGTCTCTTCGAGATCCCGGTCGCAGTAGAGGAAATACCTGTGCCAGGTCTTTCGGGTTCTATGAAGGCTCTACTGGGCTCTACAAGCCCTGTACAAGGGTCCTATGAGGGTCCTGTATGGTACTGACGATTGAAGGTTTTAGGGCTTCGGTTTTAGGGTTTTGGGTTTAGGTTTTAGGGTTTAGGCCTCGGGTGATAAGCACATGTCGCAACCCCGTTATCACCTCGAGCACGACTCCCAACACGATCCCTCCCCTGAGAAGTATGACCAGAAGCACTCTGCCATCGGATTGGCCTGAGCCCCCTAAACCCCTAAACCCTAAACCCCTAAACCCCTAACCCCTAAACCCCTTAAAACCGCTAAAACCCGTAAAGTCCCTAAACCCGGGCCACAGCTCTAAAACCGTATTCCTCTCAGCAGCCCGGTGACATGCTCGCCCCTACCTAGGGTTTAGGGCTAAAGGTTTAGGGTTTAGTGGTTGTGTGCTTCGGGCTTTGAGGGTTAGGGTTTACGGTGTAGTGTTTGCGGCTCACGGTTCAGGGTGTAGTGGTTTTGTGGCTTAGGGTTTCGAGGTTTAAATGGAAAATGCCGGACGAAAAGACCATTCCTAACAAAGGGAGGGCCCGCTTGAACATTGCATTCTCGTTCATTCATTTCTGTATGCTTGCTGACTTACATATCTATCTCCATGTGTTTGTATACCTGGAGTCACACGTACTCCTTTGGCTGATGATCTATTCATTTCCCATCTACTCCTTTCACTCACAGTGAGGTGTTCAAAGGTACATGTAGCATAAAGCCCAAACCAAAAAATAACTGCAAAACCTTCTAAAACCCTATGAGTCCGTCCCTTGTAGAACCCTTATAAAACCCCTTGAAACGAACCCTTTGACGGAAGCCTTTGTAATATAGGCGCCTTAATAATTAGAATAGGGCTCGGGGGGTATACTATACCATAATCATAATATGGCACCGCAAAACCCTATTCAAGTTATTACGGCCCCTACATTCTTTGTAGTATCCCCTATAGTCCCCGCGAAAAGGGAACCCCCATTCTGACTATTCAGAAAGATGCCTCGAACGAACCCTTCGTAGCTGCCATCCCAGGAACTCTTTTTGAACCACTTTAACGAGCCTCTACGGGCTCCTTTTAGGGTTCCTTTAGGGGGCTCCTTCGAAGGAAGCCTTCGTAGCTGCCATCCCAGGATCCCTCATGGAACCCTTCTAGAACCCCTTGAACGAGCCGTTACGGGTTCATTTGAGGCTCCTTTAAAGGTTCCTTTAAGGGTTCTATCAAAGGAACCCTAAACCCTAAAACCCTAAACCCTAAACCCTAAATCCTAAACCCTAAATCCTAAACCCTAAAAGCCCTTGCAGCTGCAATCCCAGGATCCGACGGGGTGTCTCGACCCCCAGTCGTCTCAGAGCTTTGTTCACATGCTTCGACCGGTTCAGGTTGTGCCAATCGAGCCTCGCCCGTGGTTTAGGGTTTCGGGCTTGGGGTTCAGGGTTTTCTTGAAAGGGTGCATTGGAACTTTCGGGGTTTAGGGTTTAGGGTTTGGGGTTTAGGGTTTGGGGTTTAGGGTTTAGGGTTTAGGGTTTGGGGTTATTGTTTAGGCTTCGGGGTTTAGGGTTTAAAGGAGCCTCGCCAGCGTCGAGGGTGCATCAGAACAACAAGCTCGGGTTTACGGTTTCGTTTTGACTAAGTAGCTAAGTGCTATTACTAAGGGCTTAGGGCTTACAGATTCTTTAGTAGTTGAAGGTGGGGGGGGATTTGGGCGATTAGGGTTCATGTATACGTAGCTGTGGTTTTTGTTACAGGGCTTGTCGTTTACGCAGAAAGGATCGTCTTAACTTGTTAGCTCTTGTTTTGGCTCAGTAAGGCTTTAAGCTTCACGGTTCAGGGCTGTAGATCCAAGGATTCAGAGCACAAGCGGGAACAAAGCCTAAACCCGGTGGCTTATGGGCTTCGTGCAAGCGTTTCGCGCTTAGGGTTTTGGGCATGGGCCTTGGAGTTACTTAAAGGCTCATGGGACTTAGTAAGTAAGGTTATAAGTAGGTTATAATCAGGATAACCCCACTTAGGGGACTTATAACCCCAATTATAACCTACTTACTAAGTCCCATGATCCTCTAAGTAGATGTTTGGCGTTCAGCGTTGCGGTTGGAAGGACAAAAGACAAAGGAAGCAGGAAACAATCTGCCAAGTGCCCCTCAACCCTAAACCCTAAACCCTAAACCCTAAACCCTAAACCCTAGGCCCTAAACCCTAAACCCTAAACCCTAAACCAAGCAGCACGCCGTAGAAAGGTTGTAGCTCAGGCAGTGGGTCGCGCTGTTTCCGCCTGCACAGCACCAACATCCGAAATTCAATGGCACACATGGGTAGTTGTCAAAATTAGGGTCCCTTTTTGGGTCCTTAGTATAATACGGCATCTATTATTTAGGGCACCCAAAAAGGGACCTTCATTTGAACAACTACCCACATGTCAAAAAAACGTTAAGACCTGGGGCTTTGCAAATCTTAAACGTAGAAGTAGAAGTAGTAGTAGTAGTAGTAGTAGTAGTAGTAGTAGTAGTAGTAGTAGTAGTAGTAGTAGGAGTAGGAGTAGGAGTAGGAGTAGGAGTAGGAGTAGGAGTAGGAGTAGGAGTAGGAGTAGGAGTAGGAGTAGGAGTAGGAGTAGGAGTGGGAATAGGAGTAGGAGGAGGAGGAGTAGGAGTAGGAGTAGGAGTAGGAGTAGTAGTAGTAGTAGTAGTAGTAGTAGTAGTAGTAGTAGTAGTAGTAGTAGTAGTACTAGTAGTAGTAGTTCTAGTAGTAGTGGTGGTAGCCTCAGTGGTAGCAGTAGTCTCATGGGTGGTGGTGGTATTAGTAGCAGTAGTAGCAGTAGTAGTAGCCCTACCCGAGTTAGCGGATCGCGGGAATGAGAAAGTAAGCTCAGCAGCTGAAGGTTCTACGTAGATACAACCTGTACCATATTTCAGACTCCCTACAGCCTAAACCCTGAACCCTTAAACCCTAAACCCTAAACCCTTAAACCCTACCACACATCCTGGACTTCGTATGCCCCCGGATTTTCTAGGAGATGCCGCTCTCCTAAACCCCGAAACACCTACAGCACTCAAAACCTGCAACCGCCAACCCCGGAACCCGAACCTTACAAAGTCCTTGTCGTTGTGAAAATCTGGTTCTGCTAACACTGGGTTGTTGTGCAGAAGCCTAACTAGACCCAAGAGTAGCCTGGGAATAAAAAGGGTGCCCTTTTTGGTTTCAAGGGGCTTATAAGGGAACCTGAACCCTGCAAAAAGGGAATAAGGGCCTACTCCAGGTCCTAGCTAATAATGCGTTTTTGATCCGTTTCGGATCCGTTTGGGGATCCGTTTTGGATCCGTTTGCCGGGCCGGTGGGGCTGGGGCCGGCTGGGTTGGATCCCAAAATGCATCCTCAAGCGGATCCCAAACGGATCCAAAACGGATCCCCAAACGGATCCAAAACGGATCCCAAACGGATCCAACACGGATCAACAACGGATCAAAAACGGATCCCGAAACAGATCTGAAACGCATAGTTAGGAAATATATAATTTCCAGAGTTAGCAGGCAAGATCTTCACAACCTTATCAATCACTGCAGAAACCCGAAAAAATACCGTAGAAGGCCCACCCGCTCAGAACAAGCATCCAAAAAGCCATAAAGCAATCCCTGGTACAGCTCTGAAAAAGCCCTTTTGAAGAACCCCTGTAGAGTCCTCAAACCCCTCAGACGTGAACCCCTAAAGCCTCTACCCTAAACCCTACTAAATCCCCAACCCCTAAACCCTAAGCCCTAAACCCTAAACCCTAAACCCTAAACCCTAAACCCTAAACCCTAAACCCTAAACCCTAAACCCTAAATCCCTGAACTTTAAGCCTGTCCAGTGCCCTTCAAAGGCGCCTCCCCGTGGTGATGGTGAAGAAGCCCTCGTACGCCAGTCGGGCCAGGAATGTGGGATCCTGTCCCGATAAAGGTTCTATAAGGGCTCTGCTGTTTGAAGAGCTCTGTAAAAAGATGTAAAGGGGCCTTGTCCGCGGCTTTAAAGGAACATGAGGGGTCTTTCAAGGCTCGATAATTTTAAGGGTTCTACACCGGTTCTACAGTGCAGGGGTTTAGGTTTAGGGTTTAGGGTTTTGATGGTACAGGATTTGGACGTGCTTCTAGGGTCAACAAGGATTTCAACCTTCAAAGCCCCTTCAGGACCTTCCGGGGGTTGAAAGAAATTGCAAGCGCTCTGCAAGGGTTGGAGAATGGCTGTAAGGGTCAAACGAATTGTCGGTTGATGTTGAGAGCTTGGGGCCTAGGGTTAGAGTTTACGGCTGTGAGTTGGGCCTCCGCTGTGCACAGCCGCCAACCTCAACACTTCAGCGCTACGAACCCTACGTCCGCTGTTGCTTCTTAAATTAGGAGCTCAACTGCCGAAATGATACATGCATACATAGTACTGTGTATACATTGCTGCATAGCATATATACATACAACATATACCTATATATATATATACATATATACATATATCAACACATGAGAAAAATCCCATTAAAGCATGTGCTCCGAAACCCGCCTTCCAAACCTCGAAAACAACAGAGTGAACCCAGAAGTGAACTAAACGAAAATGCAGAAACCAACTAATGTAGGGGCCTTAACAATTAGAATAGGGTTTCGGGTACATAACGAAGCCCCAAAACCCTATTCTAATTATTAAGGCCCCTATATTGCGAGATCGGCCGGTTTAGGGTTTGGGGCTTAACTCCATGCAGGGCATCTCACATGAATTTTCAATGGAACAAGCAACTACCCTGCCATCACCACAACAACAACAGCAGCGGAAACGGAAGAAACCCATGACACTGAAGCTGAAACCTCCAACCCTCAACCGAAACACTGAAACTCTGAGAAGGCCGAAAACGGCGTGGGTTTAGGGTTTAGGGTGGGATGCTGAGCCACCGACCCAAATCTCGCTGTCACTGCCGTCGAACCTGTGGTGTTTGCCATCATCGGAAAAGAAGGCTTAAGAAGGCTTGCGACTGTGGTAGTCGTCGTCGTAGTGGCAGTAGTACTGGTCGTGGCAAAGGGGTGGGCGTGCCAGTGAGTGGTGGTGGTGGTGGTGGTGGTGGTGGTGTTGCGGTGTTGCGGTGTTGCGGTGTTGCGGTGTTGCGGTGTTGCGGTGTTGCGGTGTTGCGGTGTTGCGGTGTTGTGGGGGTGGCGGCGGCGGCGGCGGCCGTGGCGGTGGCGGTGGCGGTGGCGGCGGCGGCGGCAACGGTGGCGGTGGTGGTGGTGGTGGTGGTGGCGGCGGCGGCGGTGGCCGTGGCAACCTAGTACTAGTAGTAGTAGTAGTAGTAGTAGTAGTAGTAGTAGTAGTAGTAGTAGTAGTAGTAGCAGTAGCAGAGCAGTTGCAGTAGCAGAGCAGTTGCAGTAGCAGTGGTAGCAGTAGCAGAAGTAGTAGTAGTAGTAGTAGTAGTAGTAGTAATAATAATAGTAGTAGTGGTAGTAGTAGTAGTAGTAGTAGTAGTAGTAGTAGTAGTAGTAGTAGTAGTAGTGTAGTAGTAGTAGTAGTAGTAGTAGTAGTAGTAGCAGAAGTAGTAGTAGTAGCAGAAGTAGTAGTAGTAGTAGTAGCAGCAGCAGGAGTAGTAGTAGTAGTTGTAGTAGTAGCAGCAGGAGTGGCAGTAGTCGTCGTCGTACTCGTCGTAGTCGTCGTAGTCGTCGTAGTCGTCGTAGTCGTCGTAGTAGTGGTACTCGTTGTCGTCGTCGTCGTAGTAGTAGTAGTAGTAGCAGTAGTATATCTGCCCTGACTACGCGACACCGACCTCGAGACGAACACGACTAAACTCTGTCGGCCTGTAGGCACTGTCACAAGCCCGAAACGCTAAAGCCGCAACACCCACAAAGCTCAACATAACCTAGATGCTGCCCCCCCCACCCTGTAATAGTGACTATAAGGATCATATTAGGGCCCTATCATATTCCTATTATACCACTATTACAGGGTGGGGGGGGCCCCTTCTAACACATAACCTACAAAACAAGAAGCACAACCCCCAATCCTGTGGTTCGGAAACTTCAAGGCCTGCACCTTCTGGAACCCTTACTTAAAGGATCATGGGACTTAGTAACTAGGGTTCCTTAAAGGGCTCCTTAAAAGGGATCTAGAGGGTTCCTTAAAGGGATCCATAGGGTTTAGGATTTAGGGCTTACTTAAAGGATCATGATCATGGGACTTAGTAACTAGGGTTATAATCAAGGTAACTGTACCTATAATTACTTACAGCCCCACTTAGGAGATTTATAACCTTACTTACAAACTCCCACGATCCTCTAAGTACCCTTACTGCCTGTTAAAACCGCTTATAAGATTCCAAACCCTAAACCTTTGTCGAACCGTATGGTCCCGTTGAAGGAATCCTAGTAGAAGAATGCTGAACCCTACACCCGAAACCCTTGTAAAAACCATGTAGACCCTCATAGAACTTCTAAACTCGTTCGAAAACCTATATCAAATCATATACAACGCTATTAAGCCATTCATAAATTGCAATTAAATCCAGAAGAAAGACCCCAAGCCACCACAATCCGCTACGAAACCTAAACAACCCTCGAAACAACCCTGACCGCCTAAACCCGAGCCAGGTTGCTGGAAGTAGTTGAAGCTGGAGAGCCGGACGGGAGAACCGTCGCCGAAGCGCCCGACCACCTGCTACCAGAAGCATGTAGTTTGGAGTTCATTTCAGGATTCGTTTAGGGGATCCTTTGAGGGTTCCTGTCATCCATTTTGGGGGTTCTACAGGGCTTTAGGGCTTAGGGTCTCGGCTCTTTCGTTGTTGGGGCTCGGGTTTTTTGGAGCTTCGTGGTTGCGGGATCGGGGTTGTACCCCTCTGCTCAGCACGCAAAATTCGCAGTTGAATGATCCTCGGCCGATGCTCGAATACGGTAAACAATATTTAGACCAGCATTTTGGTGCGTGTATATATATATATATATATATATATATATATATATATTGTTACTATATTATTATATGCAGATACATATACAACAACTATGCTACGGAACTCTTAGCAATAATATTACTGATTTTTCCGGCCCACACATGCAGGCCTACATGCCGAACCGCTAAAAACCATGAAGCGGCTTTGTATGAGCCCGGTCAGGTTGCAGGCTTGGGGCTTTGGGTTGGCGGACGATGTGCAAGGGATCTACGGTGCAGGGATTGTTCTGCAAAGCTCACAGCGATGAAGGAACCCCTCGAAGGACCTAGCAGAGCTGCAAAAGGGATACCCTAAACCCTAAACCCTAAACCCTAAACCGTGGCTCTGGAACAACCACCATGAGAGTTTGGAAGTGCAGCGACGCCGATGCTTGCAACGCTCCCGGGAGCACCTGAGGACTCCCCAAGCCTCTTCTTGATCTTGATGATGATGATGAGGATGATGATGATGATGATGACGATGACGGTGATGATGATGACGATGACGGTGATGATAATGATGATGATGATGATGGCGACGACTTTGACGACGGCGCTGATGAGGAGGAGGACGAGGAGGAGGATGACACCTCCTGCTCCAAGCCCTGCAGCTACGACAACGATGACGACTACTATTTTTCAATTGAACGCTGCGCGAGCGTGCTCTGCGCTTTGCGGGCGCCTTTGGTCTCGTGCACTCGTGAAACTGCTTCTAGCATGCATCGCTCAGATCTCTCTAATCAGCTCGAACTTGACAGACTACTGCTACAAAAGCTTCCTCCTCCGACACCTTGGTGTGAACAGACGCGTCCATCTGTGCACCTGTCTCAACAATTAGGCCGTACCTCGGGCGAAGCCGACACCTGGAGTATCCGTCTCGTGGCGTCCCACACGGATTACTCATGTTGAAGACAGAAGGCCGTAAGGGTCATGTGCTCATGACCGCATGTACCTGAAAACAACTCCGGTGGAGTGAGGCTTTGGGCAGCTTGGACGTGGGCAACTCGCTGAAGAGCGAAGTGCTGTTTTAAGCGAGGTTAGCACGCGGTTCACAGGCTTCCGAAGAGATTCGCTAAGCGTCGGAAGAGTGCCGAATTCCCTGAGTCTGTGACATAAGGGATCAAAGAGTCTGTGACATATTCCTGCCCTCACTGGTCATGACCTTTTGGCCACTGCTGAGAGTAACTGTGCCAGGACCACTGCTGCCACCAGTCCCAGTCGTCTTCTTGAGATGAGCGTGCCTGTCTGGCCCACTGGGTCGAGGAAGATGAGGAGGGGCCATCGCGCTGTCGCTTGCCTTCTGTGTCAGCCTCCTGCATCTGTGGGCGCTTGTTGGGGGCAGCAGCAGCCAGTTTGGCCATGCGCTTGTCCTCCTCGTGCCCCTTGTCGTGCTGGATCCGCATCTTCATGATGGAGTAGGCATTTTTGTCGGGTTTGACCCTAAAGACACGAGCTGGGAGTCCGGCTGATTTGGCCGTCTCATTGTAAACTGCCACGATGGTGGTGGCGATCATGTTGAACTCGACCCACGAGGGGAAGTGCTGCTGAAAGGCCTTTTCGTCCCACATCTTGTTGAAGCAGGCATGGATAAGGCCATGCACCTTTGTGGGGGCATCCAGCTCGCGATAGGCGTCTCCCGCGCCTGTGGCTATAGTGACCTTCCCATCGCTGGTGAGGACCCGCCTCACCGACATGGCGGTGTCCCATGTGAGGCCTGTTTGCGTCCTTACCGACTTGATGGCAGAGAACAGCGGGGGAACTTCGCGGAGGGCTTCCATCCTGGTAGACCAAAGGGTCTGTTGCTCATGGTTGGTGAGGCCGCCAAGAATGACCGGAGCCACCAGGATGTTGATGGAAGCCAAGGCCCGAATCCAGTCCTGGTGGGACTGGGAGCTCAGCAGCTGAGCCAGCTCCTGCCGCGTGTAACGTACTGTCTGTTGTGGAGCCGGCTGTGGGACATAGCCGACTAGTTCCGCATTGGATTCCGGAGGCTCATATGCTGACGGGGGGCGGGAAGAAGGAGGAGGGGGCGTGTGGGAACGCGGAGCGGCCTGGGTGGCAGGGGCTGGGGAAGAAACGGACTTGGGAGGGTGCGGAGGGAACGGGGAAACAGGGATCGCCGGAGGGGGGAGCTGGAGCTGCCGAGGAGGAAATTGGAGGCTGAGGGCACGGGGTGGGCACCATGGACGGTGGGGCCTTAGCCGGAAGCGCTGGGGCCGCCTTCGGTGTTTCCGCTTGGCTTGCTTTGAAAGCCGCCTTTTCAGCTGCTGAGGAAGTGAAAGGGCACGGGGGAGAGGGCGGCAGCTCAAAGCTGCTTTGTCTGTACCTTTGGTCCTGGTACTGCTGGGGGGGAGAGGAATCTCCTGTGGGAGCTTTGGGGGAGGGGGAGGAAGAGGTGTCTGGGATGCCGACATGGCGCTGGGTGACGGGTTATGCTTCTGCGTGACAAAGTGGTTTTTGAGGCCGTGACTAGTACTGAATTGCACCTGCCTGTTGTGCTTCCGGCAGTGCAAACAGCATAACCACATGTCTCCTGAAACTTCCACTTGCCCTAATCCGCGAGGGATGAGCTCCAGCACATCCTGCTCTGTAAGATCTTGGTTATAGTGGTGGGTCTCACGGACCGTGGCCATGATCTCTGCAAAGGAGTTGCGCTGGATGCTATCGGCCACATAGGTTTCAATATCCTCCTGAGTGGGAGGAGGAGGAGCCGATGTGGCGGTTGCCGTGGTCTGTGACCTAAGTGGCTGTGGTGAGCTGTGCTCTTCGGGTCTATCAGACTGGATTTCCAGGGAGATGTCGGGGAGCTGGCTCTGCAGCATGCGATCGGTTCGTTCTTTGGTGGTGGGGTCTCCCTGAAATCCCTTCAGCCACTTCCAGCACCTGGTGTAGGCGACTGTCGTGTTGTTGGTAGTCACGAAGTAGTGGCCATCATTGTCGTACTTTTTGTTCTTCACTCGCTTGTCCCAGCGCTCCAAGAACAGGTAGATGGGGCCAAATTTGGTGGAAACATTCCATCCCGCTTGAGGGGAGTGTCCAAGGTCTCGACCCAAGATCTGCCAGAGAAATTTGCAGAAGGTCATGTATTCCAAGTTCGCCTTCGCTGTCATAACCTGACGGCTGAAGGCGTGCTGTATGGCTTCCCTCATCAAAGGGTGTCTGGGCTTGCCATAGATGATGCCTTGAAAGATGTGATCTCCTTTGACTCCAATGGCCATGACCATGAACTCATTTGGGAGTTGGCCAGGTGGGGAGGGTCTGTGACCCACTTCACCTGCCTTCGTTGAGTGAGCTGTGCTCCAATCTGCTGCTAGAAGCTTGAGTACCTGTTCCCAGGGTACCACAAAGCCACATTTGATATCGACATAGAGGCCGCCGTGCTGGTAGTGGTAGACGAAGCGGAACACGTCTGCTCTATGAGCTGGCTGACTGAGGCGATCCAGCAGATTGGAGCCGTACTTTCCGGCGAGTTGCCGCAGGGTAGCCCGAAGGACACCATCATCACAGAATTTTCGGGTGAAGCCGGCAAACATTTTGGCCGCAACTTGGGCTGGCTCCGGCTTGTCGTCGTGGACGTAGGTCTGGAAGAGGAGGGCCGGGACGGGGGCGGCCTCCCATTCTGGGAGATGCGTGAAGCGCATCCCCCAGGGGCCATGTCCGTACTGCATGGCTACCTCCGAAAGATCTCGGACAGTTCGGCATTGTGACAGAGCCTGGGCAGCAAGCATTTCGACATGCATGTCCTGCTGGCGAGCATTCCAGCCAGCAACCACGAGGACAGGCAGTCCTGGGGTGTTGCGCATTTCCTCAATGGCTCTTGTGACAAGTGCCGGGATGACGATGTCCGCGACATCGGGGCGGAAGTGGAGATTCTTGGAGTTGTAGAGCCATTCTACCCCTCCTACACCAGGCATCTGTGCCAAATCCATGATTTCCTGATTGGGCAGGTTCTTGTCCGCAAATCCATATTGGACCCTGCCGTCTATCAGGTAGTCATAATTGATTTGCTTCTCCGGGCGCAGGCTTCTTGACAGCGGAATGAAGCGAACGTTGATTTGTCCGTCAAGGTGGCTCTCCAAAATGGAGGCCACCGGCTGACTCTGAACTGCCGCCTTGAATTTGTGCGGCCCGAAGAGGCCAAATTGCCAGTGGAGGAGCTCCATGATGGAGGGGACGCTGCCGGCAGAGATGTTGAGGGCGGCGCCAGGACAACTTAAGACCTGTCCCGTCAGCAGTGGGAACACTCCGTACGTGTGTCCCCGCAGCATGTGCTGCAAAGTGCTGTCACTGAGCACCAGAAAGGGTCCCAAACTGGGAGGGTTGTCCATGGTCTCAGCTTTAGCTGATGGGCCAGAGTCTGTGACACGCGGCCAGGAGGTGAGCTGTGCTCTTCGCGGAGTCGCAGTTTGTTCCGAAGTTTTAGCTTCTGCAAGGCATGTCTTTAGTGCAAGCTGCGGTACTTCTGCTGCTGCTTACTGTATCGACAGTTCGAACTGACAGCTGCGGTATGCATGCACAGCATTTCAGAGTCTTATGACCAAGCACGAAGCTTAGGCAACGCAGGACGACTGGAGACAAAGAACATCAGCAGAGGGCACGCGAGCAGGGACTGTTGGTGCCATGTGGTAGCTGAGACCTCGGATCGCAGGACAGAGCAAACGATGATGCAGCAGTAGCTGGGTTCTGGCATGCTGCAAGGTCAATTTCTCTGGACAGGTGGGCAACAA